ATACTACATACTACATACTACACTGACAGGAACGCAGAACTGTAGATTAACACACACTCAAACAAAAGGAAAATGGGGCTATATATACATACACAAATGCACTGAGGGCTAATCAGGGAATTAGACACAGCTGTGGAACAAGGCCCAGGTGAAACTAATTAGGATAACGACACAAGGGAAATAAAGCTACATGCAAAACATAGGCGACAAATGACTACAAAATAAAACAGGAAATGAGTAAAAAGGCAAAGTCAAACAACAATTGAATGATCAAGACAAAGGAAATTCTTCAAGCAGTCTCTGCAATGATGGTAATGACAGTTTTTCCTTTTTTGGATACAGAGCTGAACGCAAAACCAAGAGAAAACCTGTAAATAAATTAAAAAAAATAAAGCTTTTATTTTTTATGCTGCTTTTCCTCTCTTGCACCTATCTCTCTCTTTTTCTAACACCTTAAGCAAGAGGAGTTTACGCCTTATTTGCTGCCAATTTTAGCATTATCATACCTAATTACCAGTACTAATCTGTGCTAATGGTGACATTATGAGGTGTACAGTACATGTGGCAGCGTGGTTAATGTTGAAGATAACCAAAGGAGGCTTAAGTTTAAGAATAACCCAGCATATCTGTGTTCTTGTTGAGCATTCAGTGCCGGTGTGTAGGTGTAGCATTTGACAGAAAGGAAGAGTGAGTGGATGAGATAGTGTGCCCGTGTGCAAGAAAAAAAATAGGTTAGATTGGAGGGCGTTTGAAAGAGATACCATGAAAGACAATGAGGAATGACAGCAGCGGTCTGGACAAATTAGGCAGCCAAAAAAATCATGAACCACATCACAGAAGGCAAATTATACACACAAGCAAATGCAAAGACAGGCCAATGCAAATCAAAACCAAAATGTGACACAATACACACAAAATAATTCAGCAATAATAATTCTGCTCAGTAAGTTAGAAGCTTGGGTAAAAATTCTGTGAAAAACAAGAAATGAAATACAATATTCTGTACATCATATTAGTTAGGTTAAGCTGCAGTTTGGTAAAATCCATCAAACCCATCTAATCTAAGTCAGGTTACACAGCATCTAACATTAACTAGCTAAGCATTGCATCATGCTTGGCTAGACAGCTGAATAACTCTACTGGGTAAGTGAAGTACCCTTAACCAAAACCTTTCATGCTGTTTTTGCTGGGAACAAAGTATTTCCTGTTAATGATCCACTTCTTTCAAAGATCTTGGTCCTCTGCATGGAAACTGTGTGAAGTCTGCTCACCCAGACTGGTGCAATCTTCATCAAGTCTTCTTATAGCAGCCAAAACTGTACTAACTCTCCCCAGTTTCCTAGATATTGTTTTTTTGTTGTTGTTTTTTTAAAGTTAAATTTAACTTTATGATGACTCCCAACAGTATTTATTTGTTCAGCACATGCAAACAGAACGCACACTAATCAGGTAATTGGCAGTCCTTCATATCCTGTTGCTATTGAGCCACACCTTGCTCATAACCCGCCAGAGGTGCTTCCACATTTTCCCAAAGAAAACAATTAAAGCATGTAAACATTCATATATTATACTTTATATATTTAAAAATATGATCCAAACACACCCATAAATCGTGTATTTACAATTAAAACATAAGATCATACAAATCCAATACATTTCTCCCGTTTCTTATTTAGTCTCACTATTTCTATCTTGTTCCAGCACAGTTGAAGTGGAGCACCCATGATTTGGTTGTGCATGTACAATGAGCACCTAAAATACCCAAGCAAGTCCTTGATATAACTTAAACTTGGTCTCTTCCAAGAAATTGTGTCTTCTGCTGCTATAAATGAGATATGGCAACAGATGTTATAGATGTTTGGCTATAGAAGTTTAGGACAGGGTCGTATGTCTATGCTTCCCAAACTAGAATACACTTACATAACTAGTGAATATTTTCAAGGTTTCAGTTTTTCTTAAGTATAAGATCTTCACTTCAACTTGTCATATATGTTTGGTTTTTTTTACATGATTGAAGAAATGAAACATGTGTTTCATAAATGAGAAACTTAATTCTGAAGCATAGTAAAAAGTTTTCTACCTTCATTTTCACTCTGACCTCTGTGCAATTGAAATTTCACCCTTTTCCAGTGTGGGAAGTAGTAGATATGAATAGAAGGTGATGACTTTCATTCCATCCTTTCATGAGAACAAGAATTGTACTCCAAACACAAAGAGCAGGTAGCTCTTTCTGTTTTTATACTCTCTGACAATTCAAATGAGAACATCTGCTGGCGGAATCAAACCGAACCGGAACAATCTCCTTAACCTTTCAGCTTAGACAGCAGCAGAAATCAAGGATTGAAATGAAGACCAGCTTATTTTTTCTCAGTTTTATTGTGAGCAGTGTGGTAAACAGAGAGTGCGAACAGCGCACAAATGGAGAGAGCTCTGCTGATTCACAGTATTACCTTGAGGAAGGCCTCTCACAAAGCTGTGTACAGAGTGTTCAACAAATAAAAAGAAAACTAAAACTATGAAAGACAAGAACAATTTGCTTTGCCTTCAGCAATTAATCCATTATGAATGCATACACGGAGGCACACTCTGAGCTCAAACAATAGAGCTGTATTTCATCAAAGACCATTGGAGACATTTGCATTGGAGCTGTAGGCAACATTCGCTTTTTTTCTGTTTCTGGATATCCCCTGGAGCCTTTTTAATTTTTTTCAATTTATTATGCATATTTACTCCATTTATGAGGAATGGTTTTGTACAAGAAGAAACATTTGTATGGTTTATGGAATGAACCAGAGTTCAGGAGTTTAAACACCAGTGATGAGAGTACAATACACTCTTTAAGTTGTGGGTCCACACCTCAGTACTAGCAGACATCGGCATTCGGCCTGCTTTCATCTCGCTTCTTGGCTCTTCCTGTTTCCCTTAGCAAAACCTTTTCTCTGACCTAAAATTGTTGTTACGGGGTCATGTGCAGGAGATACTAAAGCAGCTTCTTTTCCGCTAATACTAGTTCCACACTGCAGTTCATGAAAAAGTCATGTACTTATTCAAGTTTTAAGTCATTTCCCCGTGCTCTTGAGATTCCCCGGCAGCGACTATAACTAATACTTGAAACTACCTGAAGCAATTAAAATGCATTTGCTGGCTCTCAGTATTAACAGCCATGACAACACAGACTATGCTGTTGAAACGGCATTTTGTTTTTTGAGTCACATGTTTTTAAATCATAGTCTGGCTCCAAATGCACAATCATAACCTTTCAACCATTTGCTTTTCTTTTAGGTGGTCTACAAGAACAACGACTTTAAGCTGGAGCTGTCACGGCTGGCCATCGAGCGTGACCCGAAAATCACCCTGAATGGTGACCTGGTGTTCCGCTGTGAGGATGTAGCAGCCCTGGATCCTGTAACTTTTGAGACCCCCGAGTCCTACATCTCTCTGCCAAAGTGGAACACCAAGAAGACGGGCTCTATCTCTTTTGACTTCCGGACCACAGAGCCCAGCGGCCTTCTGTTATTCAGCCACGGACGGCCTCAGGGGCCTAAAGAGCAGAAGCCTGGTAGGGAGCTGAAGACTGATTACTTTGCCATGGAGCTTCTGGAGGGGTATTTGTACCTGCTGATTGATATGGGCTCCGGAAAAACAAAGCTCAAGGCCAGCAACAAGAAGGTCAACGATGGGGAATGGTGCCATGTGGATTTCCAAAGAGAAGGAAGGAAAGGTGAGGAGTGCTTTAAAACTGGGTTAGTCACTTTTTTATGTTGCATGCGATTTAAGTGCATGTGAACGGCTCACTGGATTAGGAAGACAGAAATATAGACTCTGCAGGGAAAAGGGGACAGAACTGACTTTGTCATAGTCCAATACTGTTTTGTCCTTCATGACAATTCAATCATGTTGGAAGCAGAGTAGTGATTACATATACTAACAGTATATCTATTTTTAAAAACTGTGTGATGTCTTTAAATTCCTCTGCCTTCTGGGGGTGCAAACAGGAGCATCTGTATGCTTGAGTGGGCATTGTCTGATGAATGATCTGTAGGTGGGAAAGAACCTTGGACATTATATCTCCCTCAATTGTTGCCTTATAATGAGGAAGCGTGTGAATGAGTGCGTGCATACGTGTGTGTGTGAGTGTGTATGCACGCATGGGATCTCACTGCTGCTCCTCCTGTAATTGGCTTTTAATAGAAAATTAAGATGGAGTCGTTAATCACCGAAAGAGAGAGGGCCTTTTGTTTCACCCACTCCCTGCTGCATTCTGCTTCCCTTCTCCTCCATTTAGCCTATTATAGACACATTAGACACACACACGCATATGGATGCACACTCGACTGTCATCTATTCTTTCTGTGTCGTGTATGTCCTTCTGTCTCCGTCTGTCCCTGCTCTGTTTCCCTAAATTAGCCACCTACTGCCCCTCCCACTATTCCGCTCACTCACATTTACGTATATAGACTATACACATTTTCAGTCCTGACCATCTGAATCACTTTAGTCAAGCACTAAATACAAGATGCATGCTCAGTCATGCACAGATAAGCTGGACCTATATTCATTCATGTAGCTGCAGTTAGGGTGATGTATCCAGGTGCCAGTAACATCAGATTCAAAAGTTAACATCTTGCTGCTTGTTTCTTCTTTCTTTCTGTATTTTAGGATCAATCTCAGTCAACAGCCGCAGCATGCCCTTCAGCTCCCCAGAGGGCAGTGAAACCCTCCACCTGGACACTGATATGTACTTGGGCGGGCTGCCCGAATCTAAGTCAGATCTCATCCTGCCGCCAGAAGTTTGGACAGAGCTCCTTAACTACGGCTACGTAGGCTGCGTCCGTGACCTATTCATCGATGGCAAGAGCCGGGATGTCCGCCGGCTGGCTGAGATCCAGAGTGCCCTGGGTGTCAGCAGTTTCTGCACCCGTGAGCTACAGAAACGCTGCAGCAGTGCCCCCTGTGGCAACGGAGGTCTTTGCAAAGAGGGCTGGAACCGGTACATTTGTGATTGCACTGGCACCGGATACCTTGGTACCAACTGTGAGATAGGTAAGAAGGGCCAAGAGTGAAGCTTCTTTGACCACTTAAGGATTAATTATAGAATCTGAATTCATTGTATATAATTGAATACTGACTATGCTAAATATAATTGTTTTGGCTACACTCCAGAAAAGAAATGAAATGCTTTTTTATCACATTAAAAGCAGGACAAACATATACACACAAGCAAAGATATTCCTTTATATGAGGCCCAATGCACTGCAGTAAGAATGAAAAGGAAATCATGAGAGTCCCAACACCAAACAACGAAAAGTTTCTGTTAAGTTAATGTGCTGACACATACGACAACATTCTTCCTTGTATTGTAACCAACAAGGAGCTGTGTGTGCACCAAATGCCACCTGAGACTTGCTTGCATTCAGCCCACTGGCTGAAGTGCTGGGATGTTGGCAGGAGTGCGACAGAGCAGCCAGGCCTCCTGCCGCCATCTGTGTCAGTCACACACACACGAGTGGCCTTTGCACCACAGCGAGGCAGGGTGAGCTCGTCAAACAACACCACGTCCTTCTGATTCATCCCAATTAGGTGCAGACACCTCAGCCTGCGGTTTGTCTTAGCTTGTCTGAGGGGGTGAGTCAGCCATGACGGAATGGAATTTTGAGGGACAAGGAGGGTAATGAGGGAAGGAGAAATTGGATTCAAGTCAGGACAGTCAGGGTATAGGATGAAATATCCTTATTTTGAAGGGTGATAATTTTAACAATTTACTATTTGGTTCCTCGGATGACAAACGTGGTTTAAGTGATGTTCTTCTGCCATCTTGTGGATTTTTGTATTATTGCAGGCACACTTCTGTAATACCCAGCTAGATACACCTGTGTATATAAACTGAGTTCACAGATTAGCTGAATGACAGGAGAATCTGTGATATTGATTTGACAAGGACAGGGCCCTGCAGGTTGTAGTGATGGTGATTATGCAATAATGAATGGTCTCTTTTAGCCGTTCACTGTTTTGATAAAATAATGCAGCGGCATCACATTTTTATACAAGTGCGACTTTTGTCAAAGTACACACAGTGTGTTGTGTAGGATTTGCGAATCTGATGTGCTCTCTTGAAATAGCAGCATTTTAAGCGATCGCTGGCCTGTAGGAGGGATTTTTCTGCATCTTTTAACATCGTGTTTTTGTACACTCTAAAATCTAAATGCTTGAAGCACCCTGTGAAAGTGACTCATGTTAGCCTGTGGTGACACATATCGACCCACGCTCCAAGATAAGAGCACTCCTCTGGAACTGTCAATCTCCAACAGCGGTCTATTTATGGCAGCAGCAGAGAAAGTAACCACGCTTCAATGTAGTGTGAACATGAAGACCGTGTTACAGCACGGACTGAGTTTTGTTTTTCTAAGCTTGGCAAGCATCTGATGTTTTTGTTAAGTCCTTTTTTGTGGTTTCCTGTTCTTCTTGTATTAATACACTACACTTTAAAATTGTCAGCGTTTTCTTGAAATGTGGGTTCTTGTAAACAAATGTAAACACAATTATGAGATAATTATTTATCCATCCATATTTTTTTATCCCCTTATCAGGGGGCTGGGTCACAGAAGCCCAGACCTCCCTAAGG